TCCTGGACACTCCAACCGATCGCGGCCACTCCCGTCCAGGTCCAAGGGAGGGGGTAGGGGGAGGGGTCACGACTCCCTCCCCGCCCGCAAGCCGTCTCGCTCACTCCCACCCGCCCTTCCACCACATACGTAGCGCCCGAGCCTGGCCCGAGCCTCAGCATATTCAGCAGTCGTCTTTGGATGGGCAGCTACTGGGGGCCCATCCGCCGCCGCCGCCGCCCGCCGCCGCGCCGCCGCCGCCGCCGCCGCCGCCGCCGCCGCGCCGCCGCCGCCGCCGCCCCCCGCGCCGGCCGCCGCCGCCGCTGCCGCCGTCGCCGCCGCGCCCCCGCTGCCAAGTCGCCGCCGCCGCAGCCGCTGCCGCCCCGCCGCCACCGCCGCCGCCGCCGCAGCCGCCGCCGCCGCCGCAGCAGCCGTAGCCGCCGCCGCCAAGTGTGCTCTGTATTTTTTTTGACAGGGATGATGGGGGGATGCCGCATCGGGTGGGCTGCGCATGTTCCGAATTTGGAGGCGTAGTGTGTTTGTGTATTGTTTTTTACAAGGGGATGGTGGGGGGGTGCCCGCATTGTCCTTGGTTGGTTCCCAGTCGCCTGGAGGAGGGGGTGTATATGAATAGGGAACGGTGATCAAGACACCTACATGGAGCAAGCCGTGTAGCTCACTCCCGCCCGTCCTCCCAGCACATAAGTAACACCGGACTAAGGGACCAAATGCTTGAACCTCTGAGCAGGCTCTGTCAACAACCAATGCAAAGGTCCCGACGGGACAATCGTAGTCCCGCCAGCTACGGCTCGAGTCGGAGAAGGAGGAGGATGAAGAGGAGGAGGAGGAGGAGTCAGGAGGAGGAGGAGGAGGAGGAGGAGGAGGAGGAGGAGGAGGAGGAGCGGAGAAAGAGGGAGGAGGAGGAAGAAAAGGAGCAAGGCCCCCAACTGAGAGCGGTGACGTAGCACGCGCTCACGTGCAGGGCTCCCAAGAGCGAGCAGTGACGCAACAAGCTTTTACCATCAAGGCTCCCAAGAGCGAGCGTCAACGTAAGCATCTCTGGGCACGAGGATTCTGAACATATAGCGGTTACGCAACAAGCTCTTCCCAGCAATATTCCCAACAGAAGGCGGTGACGTAACGCGTTTACCAGCAAGGCGCCCGAGAACGAGCGGTGACGCAACAAACTCCTACTACCAAGGCTCCCAAGAGCGAAGGGTGCCATGAGCCATCTCGGGCAGGTTACTGAAGCGCTCTTTCCGTTTCCGTGCCGGCCCATGTCTAGTGGTCTTCGGCCCATCCCGCCATTGTGCTTGGGGTGTTGGTTAGAGGCCTCTTGGATGTTCGTTTGGATACCGTGCGAAGCCTCTCGGGGTCCTCTCGGAGGCACTTTTGATGCCTCTTGGGGGGCGTTGGGGGTGCCTCTTGGGGCCCCTTTTTCAACCTCTTGGGGGCCTCGCGGGGCCTCCAGGTGGCCTCTTGGGCTCTCTTGGGGGCCTCTTGGGGCCTCCTGGGGGCCTCTTGAGGCGGAAAGCTCGAATTCTCGGTTCGTATTCCCTTCTTTGGGCCCTCTTAAGGTCGTCTTGGGGCCCTCTTGGGCGATCTTGAGCGCCTCTTGGGCCGTTTGGGGGCCCTCTTGGACCCGTCTTGGGGCCTTCTTGGCGGCCTTTTTTGCTGTCTTGGGGTGGTCTGTTGGGCCTCGTGGTCAATCTTGGAGCGTCGGAAGCACGAAAGGGTGAGAGCCCCAGAAACATTCGAACAACAAAAAAGAACATCAATGACTTCTGCCTCTTGGAGCCCTCTTGGCAGGCCTCTTGAATCGCTCTTGGAGCCTCTTGGAGGCCTCTTGGGCCGTCTTGGGGCCATCTTGGGCGTCTTGAAGCGCTCTTGGGCCGTCTTGGAGGCCCCTTGGCCCCTCTTGGGCGCTTCTTGGGGCCATCTTGGCTCGTCTTGGGGCCCTGTGGCCTCTGGAAAATCCCCGCGACCGAGCCCAAGAGCGACCAGATGCTCCGATGTGGAGGCAGAGTGTGTTTTGCATTGTTTTTCGACAGGGATGGTGGGGGGGTGTCCTCATGGTGTGCGCATGGTTCCGGATTGGCTGCCGGCCGGGTGGGGGAGGTGGTGTTTATCAATAGGGAATTGTGATAAACCCTTCCCCGAAGTGGAAGAGGGGTTTTTGGAAGATGAAAGAAACTCATCGTTAGTTCACCTGCGCCCAGAGGGCTGGTGGGATTTGAATCTGGGCAAAGCGCCACCCCGCTGGTACCCCCAGCAGCCCTCGAAAGTGGCGACAGCTTCGCAGATCGCAGCCCCCCAGGGCGGCGAGGTTTAATGTGAGTCTGGGTAAGGCGTCAGTCCGCTGGATCCCCCAGCATCCTTCGAAAATGGCGACAGTTTCGCAGATCGCAGCCTCCCAGGGGTGGCGAGGTCTAATTTGAATCTGGGTAAATCCTTCTCCGCTGGCGACGTCTAATTTGAGTCTGGTTAAGACGTCCCTCCGCTGGACCCCCTCGGCAGCCTTCGAAAGTGGCGACAGTTTCGCAAATCGCAGCCCCACAGGGATGGCGAGGTAGGAGACGGCGCGCAAGAAGGAACGAGGTAAGAGGCAGGCAGCAAAGATGAGAGGAGGAGGGAAGAGAGGAGGAAGGAAGGCGGGAGAAAGACGGAGCACGCAGTGCTCTTTTCAAAACGAGTACCCATCGCAGGAGGGTTGGGAAATACTAAAGAAGGAATGCCACGAGAGATTGTCTATCATGTATACGTTCATGGTCGAATACGCGGGCAACCTCAACGCCCTCACTGTTTCAGCACATCAGTTTTTTTAGTTTTAGTCACGCTTGCTGTTGATCATTATTCCTTGTCGCACCGTCCGCAGAGGAAACGGTATGGCTGCAGCGTTTCTCCATTCATTGTTCCATGGCGTTCTCTGCTCGTGTCTTGTTTCTCGATTTCCTCCCTGCACGTCTCCCCTTCTTCCTCCTCTTCTGTTTCTCTGAAGGTCGACCACAGGTCCCCAGAGGTTCACGAGGAGGCCCCCGTGGAGACCCCCAGAGGTTCCCTGAGGCGAGAAAGAGGCCTGGAATGACCCAACACCTCGATCCCATGGTTTCCTCTTGCTTCCCCACCCTTTCTAGACCCGAGCAGTCGTGCCCAGTCTGGAAGGCAGGCACTGTTCTTCGCGGGTTCCCGCGATCGCGGTTGTTTTGATCGTCCTCTTCGCGCTTCGAGGTGGGATGATCGAGACTGTAGAGGCCTCTGGCCGGTGCCGCCGATCGGGGACGATCCCGCTGCCAGAAAGACGGTTTCGCCCCAGCGCGGGGTGATCTTTGCCCTTCTCCGCGCTGCGTTTCAGTTTTGTAGACAGAAGAAAAATCTGGGTCCGAGTCTTTCCGCATCCTTATCGAGGTCTCCTGGGGGGGCGTCTTGGAGGTGATTGTTGAACCTCTTGGGGGCCTTTTGGGCTTCTTGGGGGCATGCAGGAGGCATCCTGGAGGCCTCCTGGGGTTGCGCAGGAAGTAATATTTAGCCTTCGGGGGCGCTTTTGGGCGCCTTTGGGGGGGCTCTTGAGGGCCACTTGGAGCCTCTCGGGGTTTCTGGGCGACTCCCAGGGCAATTTTGATGCCTCCTGAGCGCCTCTAGGGCCGTCTTGGGTCCTTCTGGGGCCGTCATGGAGCCCTCTTGCGCGCTTCTTGGGCCCGTCCTGGGGCCCGCTTGGGCTGTCTTGGGGGCCTCCCGGGCCGTCTTGGGCCCTTCTTGGGCCGACTTGGGGCCCTTTTAAGAGCTTCTGGGCCTGTTTTGGGGGTCTCTTGGGCCATGTTGGACACTGCGAAGGCCGAAAAAGCGAAAATGCAAACCATGTACGTTTTCCTAATGGAATGGGACAGATTTTCCGTCTTCGGGCACTCTTAGGAGGTGTCGGGAGGGCACGTTGGAGGCTTCTGGAGCCGTCTGAGGAACATATTGGGTGTCTTGGAGCGATGTTTCGACCACTCAGGGCCCTCTTGGGCCGTCTGGGCGGCCGCTGGGTTTTTTACGAGCCCGCTTTCGAGCTCTCCAGGGCAAGGGGCCGACCCAGAGTGAGCTGGAGCTCCGATTCTGCCACCAAGATTGACTCAGAACCACCGCCCCCCCTCCCCCTACCGCGGCAGAGCCACCCCGGCATCCACCCCCCCAGCAGAGCTGAAGCTCAAGAACTGAGGCTCAGGCTATATCTGAGGGTCTTTGAAACTCACACGTCGGATCGGCGGATTTAGGGACGGTTTTAACCCTCGGTGGGCCTGCAGGGGCTCGCAGAGACCGTCGTCGTCCTCCTCTTCCTCCTCTTCCTCCTCTAGTTCCCAACCATGCTGTGGTGTTGGGTCGTCGCGTTGAAGAGACAACGCCCCGCGTTCTCCTCCCGCCTCCTCCCTCCTCCCATCCTTGCCTCTGCCCTCCGCGTGTCAGCCATTTCGGCACGCCCCTCAGCAGGATCATGGCCCCATTGGGAGCTCCACCGAAGGCCCCAGTGGCAGGGTTCGCATGGCGGCCTCGTTCGATTTCAGCACACCCCTGACGAGGATCGTGGACCCATATGGAGCCCCACCGAAGGCCCCAGTGGTAGGGTTCGCATGGCGGCCTCGGGCCATTTCGACTCCCCATTCACGAAGATCGTGGCCCCACAGGGAGCTCGACGGCCCCAGTGGCAGGGTTCGCATGGCGGCCTCGGGCGATTTCGGCACGCCTCTCACACGCTTCGTGGCCCCATATGGAGCTCTGGACGAAGGCCCCAGTGGCAGCGCCCGCATGCGCTCCCCGCTCATTTCGACACACACACACAGACCACGCACGTTTCGGGGCTCCTATGCTCGTTGCCCCGTGCTCCATCCCTCTCGCGGCACGCTGCTTAAGATTAGAGGTGCATGTCTTTCGATGCTCGCAGCTGGGTGATATGGTTGGACCCTTCGCCAGACTAATGTTTGTGTTTCTCTATGTTGTTGTCTCTCTCTGTCTCTCTCGCACTCTCTCTCCCTCTTCCTGGGAAGCCTGCGCTGCTCGTCCGATCGAAGAGAAGCTCTCCAGCAAGCGCGCTTCGCGACGACCATTAAGATCATGGACGAGAAGGCCAAGGCAGCGGGGGCGAGGGGCCACAGAGAGTCAGGGAAACAGCCAATGTTTCACTACCATGGCAATCTGCCACGGACATTTCTATACTTTCCATTTACAGTGGGATCTCATTCTGTCCATCTGCCTACGGCAAGTCCCGCCACAGCGCTTGGGTTGTGGTTTATAATGTGCTTGGATGTTCGTTGGGATACCGTGGGAGGCCTATTGGGGGCTTGATGGTCTTCGCCCCGAAAGGACGTCGTCGGGGAATCGGACGGCTGCTCGAGGAAGGCCAGGGGCACGCGTCCGCTGTCTCGCAAAAGCTCTCCGCCGCTGGAGGGGCTCGGACCTCGAACGCTGCGTTCAAGGGCCGGGCCTGGGGCCCTCTTGGGCCGTCCTGGGCGTCTCTTGGGCCGACTTGGGGCGCTCTTTGGCCGTCGCGGGGCCCTCTTGGAAGCCTCTAGGCCAGTCTTGGGGTGGTCGTGGGGGCCTCTTAGGCCATCTCGGAGCGTTGGGAAGCCGACAGCGCGGGAACGCCAGCATCTTTCGAATACCTGGGGAAAGTCAGAGTGAGGGGGCCGAACGGTCATTCACTGTCCCTGGGTGCGTGGCTGAAGTGGAATTCCGCGGTGCGGATTCTCGTTGTTGTTGTTGTTGTTGTTGTTGTTGTTGTTGTTGTTGTTGTTGTTGTTGTTGTTGTTGTTGTTGTTGTTGTTGTTGTTGTTGTTGTTGTTGTTGTTGTTGTTGTTGTTGTTGTTTGTTGTTTGTTGTGTTGTTGTTGTTGTTGTTGTGTTGTTGTTGTTGTTGTTGTTGTTGTTGTTGTTGTTGTTGTTGTTGTTGTTGTTGTTGTCGTCGTCCCACCCGCAACCCGCCCCGCGACCCACCCGCGACCCAACCCGCGACCCACCCCGCGACCCCCGACCCGCGACCCACCCGCGACCCACCCCGCGACCCACCCCGCGACCCACCCCCCCCGCGACCCAACCCGCGACCCACCCCGCGACCCACCCGCGACCCACCCACCCGCGACCCACCCGCGACCCACCCGCGACCCACCCGCGACCCACCGCGACCCACCCCGCGACCCACCCGCGACCCACGTTCGACCCAAATCACGTTGAAGGTACAAACCACCATTTTCGGCGCCTGCGGCGGGCTTTTTTTGCATTCCTTCCAGGTGGAGAGCCCGCGACCCACCCCGTGACCAACTCGCGACCAACCCGCGACCCAAAACACGTTCAGGGTACAAACCACATTTTTCGGCGCCTGCGGCGGGCATCTTTTGCAGTCGTTTCAGGTGGAGAGCCCGCGGCCCATCCGCGACCACGTTCAGGGTACAAACTACATTTTTCGGCGCCTGCGGCGGGCATCTTTTGCATTCGTTCCCGGTGGAGAACCCGCGGCCCACCCGCGACCCAAACCACGTTCAGTGTACAAACCAATTTTTGTTGGCGCCTGCGGCGGGCTGCTTTTGCATTCCTTCCAGGTGGAGGTGGAGAGCCCGCGACCCACCCGCGACCTAAACCACGTTCACTGAACAAACCAATGCCGCACAAGCGCGGCGGCGGATTTTCGCATGCCGCCTGAGCCCGCAAGGACCTCTTCAAGCCCCGCGCATCCACACCAGCCCGTCCAGCAACTTTGCCCTGGCGAGTTGCCTTGATCAGAGAAGGCTGGGAGCATACAGTGGAAAAAAGGACTGCGTTTCAGTTATCTTGGGAAAGGAGGGGGAGGCAGGAGGAGTAAACAGGGGATGAGGAGAACGCGGAAGAAGAGAGGATGTAAGGATCATGTGGAGAGAGAAAAGGAGGAGGAGCAGGAGGACGAGGAGGGGGAGGAGGGGGAGGAGGGGAAGGAGGAGGACGAGGAGGGGGAGGAGGCAAGCTAGGTGCGCTCGCGTCATATCTGACGTCCTACCCCTCCCTCCCATCCCTTACCATGGCGCTGATTTTCTCTATCCGCGGACGCGTGTCGTAGCGGACCTGTGGCTCCGCGCGCGCGTGCGTAGTGGGTGGTGGTGCACGTGCGTGCGTGCGTGCGTGTGTGCGTGGTTGTCGTGTGGTGGTGGTGTGGTGTGGGGTGTGTGGTGGTGGTGGTGATGGTGGTGGTGGTGGTGCTGGTGGTGTGTGGTGCTGGTGGTGGTGGTGTTGGTACTGGTGCTGGTGGTGGTGGTGTTGTGGTGGTGGTGGTGGTGGTGGTGGTGGTGGCGGTGCGGCGCGGTGGTGGCGGGCGGATGGGCGCGCGAGAAAAGGCCCGCGCTGGGGCGAGAACGCCATCCTGAACGACGGAGGCCAAACACCGATCCGAAAATGAGGCCCACGCTGCAGCGGGAGCACGATTCGGAACGATTCGGGAGCAGAAATGAGGCCGGCGCCCCAACGAGAGCAGCATTTTGGGGAAAAATGACGCCGGCGCCTCAGCGAGAGTCGTTTCCCGGGATTTCCCGGGGATCCTGTGTGTAAAAAACAGTACGCGGAGGGTGCGCGGCCATCACCCGAACGCCATCGGGGGAAGAGGGAGAGTATTTTCATATTGAGTAATTGTGGAAGGATGATGATGATGATGATGATGATGATGATGATGATGATGATGATGATGATGATGATGATGATGAGGATGAGGATGAGTATGAGGATGAGGATGAGGATGATGATGATGATGATGATGATGATGATGATGGTGATGATGATGATGATGATGATGATGATGATGCTGATGATGATGATGATGATGATGATGATGATGATGATGATGATGGACGACAATGGGAGGACGATGATGGAGGCCGATGAGGGGGAGGACGACAATGGGAGGACGATGATGAGAGGACGAGGGGGGGAGAGGGAGGACGAGGAAGAAGAGGAGGAGGAGGACAAGGAGGAGGATGACGATGACGATGAGGACGAGGACGAGGAAGAGGAGGAGGAGGAGGAGGAGGAGGAGGAGGAGGAGGAAAATATCGCCATCGACAGGGAAAGTGGTGGCCACGAGGTCCGCCGGCTCGACGACGCCCGCGTCGCCCGCGCCCGCCCCCTCACTCTTATCCGCAATTGCGGGGTGCTACGTATTGATTTTCGCTTCTTGCGGCCCTCTTGAAAATCATCATGGAGGCATTTTGGGACGTCTTCGAGGTATCTTTGGCCATCTTGAGGCCATCTTGGGCGTCCTCGAGCGATCGTTCGGCGACTCGGTGCCCTATTTGACGTCTTGGGGACCTCCTGGGCTGTCATGGAAGCCTTAGAGAGCCACAAGGAGTCGCCATGGCCGCCCGGGGACACTTCGGGAGCGGGTGTGGTGCAGTCGGCTGGGCGCTTCCCGGAACCCTGCCAGGCAGCCTTTGGCATTCTTCCACCCCTTGAGTTGATTGTAAGTCTACAGCCCAGCCCCGCCGCACCATGGTGTGGCTCTGTGCTTCAGTTCACTCGACACCTACTCAGCACCCATGCCGGCCTGGAGTGCCCCAGAGCGCTCCGGCGGTGGACAGGGTACCGCCAACCACCTTGTCGAGGGGGACGCGGCGCAAGGATGGCAGCAGCCAGGTCAGCCATGGCCGTCGTCATCTGGCTGGCACTCGTGGTCTGGCGGTTGGGGCTGGGGTTCCGGCCACTGGCACAAGCAGTGGAGCTGCAAGGTATGCAACGCCACCAATACGTCCAAGAAGTCCTGCGCCACGTGCGGGGTGAAGAGGACTTTACACTTTACCATCTACTCAGAGTTTCAACCCTTGATGGGGGCAGGCGCAGCTGAACCCGAGGGCTTGCCAGATATGTCCAAACGAGTCCGTGCCAACACTTTTGCACCACAGCGCCGAGCGGATGGGGTTCCAAACCCGATATTATTCAAGAAAACGCTAGGCCTCTAGGCCCTCAAGCTTCCTGAGCGTGCAGCCTGGGGGCCCCGAGCCTCTTTTGACAAAAGGTCCGAGGACAGGCATTTTCGACCCCTCCCACAAGGGAGGGTGCGGTGGGGCCGAGTTGAGGCCAATTGGAAACGGGAGATGACAGAGGGGGGGGAGAGCGGCAAACAGACTACGATGGGGGATGTGAAACTGAGTGCAATAACCATTATTTACACTTTAGCATCTACTCAGAGCCAGTCTGGGGAGGGGTTGAAAACCCTTGATGGGGGCAGGCGCAGCTGAGCCCGAGAGGGCTTGCCAGATATGTCCAAACGAGTCCGCGCCAACACTTTTGCACCACAGCGCCGAGCGGATGGGGTTCCAACCCCGACATTCTTCAAGAACACGCTAGGCCTCTAGGCCCTCGAGCTAGCTTCCTGAGCCTGCAGCCTAGGGGCCCCGAACCTCTTTTGACAAAAGGTCCGAGGACAGGCATTTTCGGCCCCGCCCAGCCGACCCAACTGGGCCACTGGCCAAAAGCCTGAAATCTAAAACAGCCGAGCACGGGCAAGAAGGGAGGGAGGGAAGCGAGACTGAACATCTTCTTCTTCCAAACAAACCCACGGCCTCCCCCAAGGACCCACTCACACTCAGACTTGGCTCTTGTTAAGTACAGGTTTTCAAGAGGGGTGAGGACTACGAAGCTCCAAACATGCGGACCGAAACCTCCTCCTCACGGCAGCTCGACGAGCCTCAATCATGTCGACGCCGAGCGGAGTGCCCGGGCTAGGTCCACGCACGACAGCGTCGTGCACGGCCTGCATCGGGCGGCGCCATAAGCTGTTGCCCTGCTTGGTCTGGGCACCGCTCAGCTCGCTCAACTTCTCGACCAGGACGTGGCACTTAGTGTACCTCTGACGCGCCGATGTCGTGGCCCATCGCCCTCGTCTCCTCGCAGCCTCCAGGTCGCCGTTCAACGCCGCGAACCTTGCTGCCGCCGCATGTCTCATCCCGTGCGGCGGCCCCATTTTCTCCATGCCGACCTCCTTCAGCGTCTTCAGCCACACCTTCCTGAAGCCAGCTTGGGCGAACGGGAAGACCTGGTCGTCGGGTTCACAGTTTTGGACCAAAACCTTCAGCAGCAGTCGCGAGATCGGCCACTCCAGCACAGCCCCCTGGCTGGCGCCCGTCTTTGTCTTCTGGCCTATCATGCGGTCGCCTAGCCTCAGGCCCACTCCGCCGTCTGGTGTGAAGCTGACGTGCCTAACTCGCAACATCGGCCAGTCCTGCTGACGCAGCCACCCGTCCAGCTGGATGATGATGCACGCGCATGCCTCCAGGATATGGCCAGTCTCCAGCATCCTCGTCACTGTCACAGCCATCGCCTGGAACGGGATCGGGTGACCTTCGCCTCCGAACTGCATCCTCTCCCGCGACTTCAGTGCTCGGCGAGCCGCCGGGAGCTTCCCGCGATGGTCCTCAAATATATGCATGAAGCCGTTGAAGGTCAGCGACGCCTTCATGTAGTTGTCACCGCGCAAGTGGCAGAGGTCGCTGACGCAGTTGCCGAGCGCACGGCCCCGCTCGTCCAGCGCCCCGAACGGCACTTCCCCCCGCTTGCAGTCGACCAGGAAGGCCCTCACGTCGCGCTCGTACACGGCCATGGTAGAGTCGTCGATCGCGTGGGCCACCAGCCGATTGTTCCAGCCAGGGCGGCCCAGCTTGGCCTGCTGCCGGGCTCCGGCCCCCCCCCCTCTTCTGTAGTGTGTGTGTGTGTGTGTGTGTGCGTGGACCTCCCCGTCGCGCTCCATGCGCCGCATGGGGCATCATCGCCAGCACGACCCAGAGAGACAATTGGCACCCTCACCTCGTAGCCGAGGTCGCCGCCGAGCTCGCCGTAGACGTCGCTGACGCTGCCCCGGCAGTTTCAGGAGCGGTCGCACTGCCTTGGGGGTCGTCCTCATCCTGTGCGCCTCCTTGGCCTCGTCCGCCGCCCCGATGCCGACGCCCCTGCTCGGCCCGTCCGCCATGTTCCATTGGCTGGGGGCCCGCCAGTAGTGGCCCCTGATCCCCGGAGCCAGCGCGATGCCACGGGCTACCCGCGCGAGCCTCAAAAGCGACGTCGCAGAAGATCGATCTTTCTGCAGCACCCCCGTTGAGGCCACCGAGTCGGTCAAATCGCCCGCCCGCACGCACCAAAGCCGACACCCAAACCGATTGCCCGGTGGGGGGATCTCCGTTTCACTGCGATCTCACCCCCTCCCTCCGATCCAAGCATATGTTGATTCGCTGATTCTTTGTGTAGTTCACCAGATGTGTTATGATCCTTTGCCGTTTCATGCCCACGGTGGCGCGTCTCAACATCTCGTCCAATAGCATGGGGTGGCAAGTCTATCGATGGCCCCCTACTGCTGATTGTATGGGCATGGGCACGCACGAGTCACTTGTAACTTGTGCCTCTCCATACTTACTTACGCATTTTTTCGATTAGGGATGTAGGCGGACACCGCTGCCACCAGGTTATCTCAGTCGGTGATCGTATCGTGCGTAAGCGGCGTTTTGCACGAAATCCCCAGGTCAATATATTTGAAAGCGGAAAAAAGATCCTCCTGTTGCTCCTCATCCTGATCTTTCAGCGGGCGGGACATGTCGGATGTCGTGCAGTATCGCCGTGTCGCGGCACCGTGGTGTTGTGATGTCGCAGAGTCGTCGCATCGTGGTGTTGTGGCGTCGTTGTGTCGTTGTGTCGTGGTTTCGTAGTGTCGTGGCGTGGTGGTGTCGAAGAGTTTGTGATGCCGTGGTGTCGTCAAGGAGGGGTGAAACCGATAGTCATAGTTCGCCGCCCGTGTTCCGCTGTATGATCACAATGGCACTAAGAATTGCAACACCGATGTGACGGCGTCTTGTTTTGCAAGCAGTTCACCGGTTCCTCGTTCGAGTGCCAGCGTGCCTCGCTCGCATGCCCTCCGTGGTGCCCTCATGGGCGGTATTTGTTCAGCGTTGAGCGCTTACCATCGATAGGAGAGGCGTAGAACTTAGATTGGTACTGCGACTTGTACGGCTGGCTACTCGAGTTAGGGCATGAGTAGATCTTAGGTAATCACCTCTCTCTCTCTCTCTCCCCTTTTCTCTATAGATCCCTCTCGCTCGCTCTCTCTCTCTCTCTGTTCCTCATGGTGTCCGTCCCTCTCTCCATTCATGCACATATCTTCACCCATATAAGCACATGTGTACGCGAGGGGCCTCGCCCTGTGCCGCCAGCCCCCTCTGATTGCTTGCATGGCTACGCCTGTTCGATTGGTTGGCTTGTTGGCTTGTCGGTTGGCAGGCTGGCAATTCCGTTGGTTGTCAACATATTGTTCGCCGTCGGGTTTGGTTGGTTGCTGTTTGGCTGGTTGCGCGCATGCGTCGTAAATTGCTTGGATAGTGACCTCGGGAGCGCGCACGCATGACATTTTGCCATGGATTGCGGCCGTTGGAAGGCGCATGTGCTGTATTTCACGAAGGGCTGTGGCCTCGGGAGCGCACATGGTGTGTAATGCACAAGGTGTAAGGGCCTCGGGAGCACGCATGCGATGACATGCAAAAGAGGTATGACTTTGGGAGTGTGATTTTGGTGGAATTGGTCAGGGGTCGTGCCCGCGTTTCAATGTACGAAGGATCTCAATCGCGGGATCGCCTGGCATCTATGCAGTGTACGCGTTCCAGGGCACCCATAAGTCTTGAGGACCTGATTCGATGGTGGCGCGAGGCTCATTTCCTGCCATGAGGGTTTTGAAGCTCCTGGCGACGAGTGACGGCAGTACATGGCGACATGCCTGATCCTGCCGCAGAACTTCAAGGCCTCAACGTGAGGAGCCTCAGTGCCCAGGACGGGCGCCTCGGATGATCCAGGATTGAGAGGGCGGGGTTTGCACGAGGCCTGCGAGAACTTGTACTGGGCCGCGGAAGATGAGCGCCTCTTGAAGAAGATGCTCGAGTCGCAGCCGCCGCCCCCGCCGGCCGGCTGTCGCCGACAGGAGCGACTATTAATTTGGAGCGGCCCCCGCCCTTTCCCTTCCTCCCTCCCGAACCCTCCCTTGTGTCTCTACCTTCTTCTCCTCCTTCCTCTTCTCCTCCCCTTGTCCTGGTGAGGAGCACACCCTCCACTTCCCTCTCCCTGTCCGCCTCCTTTGTCCTTACATCCTACCTTCCCCTCCCTGTTTATTGTCGTTCTCCCTTCCCTTTTTTTCGGGATCAATTCTTCCCTCCTCTTCGTCCTCCTCCGCTTGAGCCGCCCTTCCTTTGCCCATGCCATGTCCGCAGCCGGCCGCACCAGGCATCTCCTGCAGAGCAGTTCTGCCCGAGAGGGCGTTCCCATGCCAATTGCCAGTTTGGGTGGTTTTCCCTTTCATACTACAGTGGATGTCATTTCTCATTTCGGGAATCTACAGGCCGATGCCAATGGTTTGACCTTTCAGATGCATGGACATGTCCACGACGTTCGGGGCGCTGGACGTAACCATGCAGCCAGCAACGCGGTGGAAACAACAACACGAGCGATATTGACCAGCATAAATTCCAGCTGCGCCAGCAGCCTCCCGCACCTGGAGGTGCCCGCGCCCGCTTGACAAAGGGCGCGGCCCCCCCCCGCGCCGCCAAGCCTGGTGGTGCCAGTCTGAGCCGCCGCGCGTGGCGCTCGGGATGCAAGTACCCCCGGGGGCCAGAGGGTGGTCGAAAGCGCGTGCGCCGTCCGCAACGGCGGGACGCAGGCGCAGATGCCTGCAAGATGCAAACACCAATGCTTACAAACCGCACGACCCCGAGGCGCGCCGCGATCCGCCCCGACGCGATCCCCCCCGGCGCGTCTGCACGGGGCGCGCATCGCGATGCAAGCAGAAGCATAAATGCTGCCTCGTGCGCGCGGTGGCCCTTTCTCGTCGGGCCGCGCGCAGCCACGCACATGCAGTCGCACCCCCCCTCGCGAGCGCGGGCCCTTCGAGTAGGGCCGCGCGCCGCGAGGCGCAAGAAAGCGGGAGGCGGCTCGCGCTCTGCTTGCGCGCCCTCGCGCGGGCCAGGCGCGGGCGCGAAATTTGTGCCCGCGCACAACGCAGCGCGAGCGAGCGCGCGCGCGCTTTTGATGGCGTTGCGCGCCCACCACAAATTTGAGCTGCACCAGCAGCCTCCCGCACATGGAGGCGCCCGCGCCCGCTTGACAAGGGGCTCGGCACCACCTTCGCCGCCCTGCCTGCCGGTGCCAGTCTGAGCCGCCGCGCGGGGCGCCAGGGATGCAAGTGCCCCTGGCCGATGCACAGTGCGGCGGCGACGCGCGCGTCGCGCGCGCGCCACCTGCGAGAACGGGTGATGCGTGCGGCGGTGCCGCGAGGACGAAACACAAAAAGCCGATGTACACGCGCGCGAGGGCAGCGCGCGACGCCTCGGTCGCTGGTGCCTAGCCCAAATCGCCCCCAGACTCGACCAGGTGCGTTTCGACCTCGGCGCCGAGTTCCATTTGCGTCATGTCGAGGTACGACAGGGACGCGGGCGAGGGCCATTCCCCCGCTTGCAGGATCTCGCGCGAGGTGCCTCCCCTCTGCTGGAGGTCCACTGCGTGGCCGCGCCTCAGGTCATGAGCGCGATGGAGCGCCGCGTCTTTGACGCCGAACTGGCCGAGGACAATGCGCAGCGTGCCCAGCGCGCTAGCCGCGCTAGTGCCCGTGGACGGCCTGGCGCCCGCGGGCAGGTCCGGGAACCGTGCGCCGAGCGCGGGGGCCGGGCGCGTCGCGCTGCGGCGCGCGCGCCAGCGCGCCCGCTGCAGCGCGGAACCGAATTGCTTGTTCTTGCGACGCGCCAATTTGAGCGGCTGGAGGCCGTCGCGCAGAATGAGGGGGCCCCCTGCGCCCTGTCGAGAGGCGACGCCGTCGGGCGAAATGCCCGAGGCCTCTGAAGGGGGGGCGCAAGAGACATGCGTGCGTGACAAGAAAGAGCTGCGCGAAGACGGCGGACTCGTGCCGCTCCTTTGCTAGATACAGCAGCGCGCGAACTGCGTCTTCTTTCGCGACCGGAGGCGCTGTGGGCAGGAAGGCGCCGCGCTTGTGGACCGCGGCGAAGCGGCGAAGCGGCGCGTCACGAAATACGTCTACAGGGGGACCGCGTACCTGGAATAGCCAGCTTGACGTGCGAGGCATAGTTAGAAAAAGGTCTGATCGGAGCGAAAAAAACAAACGACCGCGCGAGCGCCCCGTCGGCGGACGGCGGCAGCTCGCGCCCGCGCAGCGCTAGAGCATCGCGCGCGAACGCGAACCATGCTGCCGCGTCGCTCTTGATAGAGGCGATGGGGCGCGGCCGTTGCGCGCGCCGAAGACAGGCGCTCGGCGACGCTCGCTGGGCCCCCCTGGCTGTCGAGCCGCCGGCGAAGATTGCGGAGCTTCGCGCGCGGGCCCCGCCGCGGTGTGGCGCGCGGGCCCCCCTGCGCCTCCGCTGCTCTTATTTCCAAGGGCGCGTCGACGGCCGCGCCCCCGGCGGCCTGCGCCCGCGCCGGTGCCGGCCTCTGGAATCGGGCCACCGCTTGCGCGCGCGCATGGGCGCGATGCGATGCAGCTGGGGCGCGGCGCGAAGCGTGCGAACCTGCTCGCGTGTCGCGAGTGCGATTGCCCCCCCGAATGCGTTGCTTTTGGCCGCCGTCGAGGTCCGCCCCCAGGAATTGGAAATCTTTGAATTCGGCCCCGGCGTGCGCAGACGGGCGAGGCGCGCTTTCGGCGGCGAGCGCCTCCGCGATTGCGTTGCACCTGGCAGCCTCGCGCCCGCCTTGGCCAGCGGCTCTCTCCAGGAAGACTCGCGTGGAAGCGGCGTGCCTGGCCGTTGCCGATCTGGCGGGCGGCGCGCGCCGGGCGGGCCCTCTGCCGCCCAGCTTCCCCTAGCCGAGCGCGCGTGGAGCGACCGCGCTGCGCGCGACCTTCGCGGGCGCGGCGCGGATGCCAAGCATGTCGCCATTAAGCGCGGTCGCCGACGCAAGACGATTTGGCGTGCAATCCGATCTGTCGGCCGACAGCTGCCCGCGCGCGGCGCAGCGGCGCCTGCGCTGCCGGCGGGCGCGCCCTGGCCCCGGGCGTCCAGAATGCTTCGCTAAGACGCGGCTGAACGAAAGAAGCGCCGATCTCGCGAAGGGGCCAGCGCCGCCCCCGCGACGGCCAATCAGCAACGTCGGATTCCGAGGGGGCGCGGTCGACGCGGAGCGATGCGCGCAATTGCGCCGCCTACAGCCACGATGGATTGATGAGACACGTATAGTCCCGCTCTTTGGGGGCGCCTTTCCGCGCGGCGATCTCGGCGCCGACGTTGTCTGACCAGAGGCGCGCGCGCGCGCCTGCCCGCGACCGCGTCGCTGGATGTCGGGGGGGGGGGGGCGGGGGCAATGGGGATGGGGGGCCTGCCCGTCAGGCGCGGCCGCGACGCGGGGCGGCGTGCTGCGCGCGTCGACAGAGAGCTGCGCTGCCTCTCGCTGGTCTGGTGCCCAGACGCGAGTCTCGCGGAGTTCCAGCGCTAAGACTTCTGCCCGCCATTCGAGTGCGACGCGCAGCTGCTGCGGCACCGCCGCGCCGCGCTGCTTCGAGTGGGCGAACGTGGGATGGGCCGGATGGTCGCGCCCCCTACGCGATGGAACGCGCCCGATCGCGCCCGCTCCAGGGCGCCCGCGTGCTTTGCCGCGCCACCGAGCCGCAAAACGCCCAAGGAGAGCGCGTCGACAATGCGACCGCGCCACTTCTTGACCTTGTCGGGCGAGGGGAGGCACGCGGCGCCGCCGTGGTCTGCGCGGACCTGAAGGCCCGCGGCGACAAGCGGCATGCCCGCGGCGATCTTGTTCGCCGCGATCGCAGAAGGCCCGGGGGTGCAGCGCGCGAGCCGCGCGATGCACCCGAGCGCATGCTCGGCGCAGGCCGCGCGCTCGAGGACCCTTCGGGGCCCTCGCGGGGCGTTTCCGGGGCGTTGGGGCGCGCTTTGGCGCCGCGTTTCACCGCGGCCGCCCTGGGGCAGGGAGGCGCGCATTTGTAGCTGCCTCGACTGCGCGCTGGGCCGGGGAAGTGCGTGTTTGCACCCCCCCTCAGCTGGGCGCGTCGACTTCGGTTCCGGGTTGGCAAAATCGGGGTGCTCTTGCGGTGGCGAGCGCTTGCCCTGTCGAGTGTCGCATATCACGGTGTGATCTGCATGCGCAGTCGGTGGCTTCAAGTGCTTGTTCGCGTGTGGTCGACATGCGCAATTCGCGTCTCCAGCTGTGAATTTGTTGTGCGCCGCTCGCTGGGGCGGTCGCTGGGTGAGAGTTTCCGCGGATCTCCCGACTGGTCCAGGAGGGGGCCGTGGCCTGGGAACGCAAAGGCGCGGGGGGGTGGGGATGGTGGGCCATGGGGGGGAAACGGTTCGATGGGCGGGGTGGCGAAGGGGCCGGGGGGGAAAGGGGCAGGGCGAGAGGGGGGGGGCATGTGCCCAGGAGGAGCTGCAACATCGGCGTCAGCATCACGAGGGCGAGGGGGTCGGCGGGGGGGCAGAAGGAGGGGGAATGATCTGCGCTGGGGCGTAGAGGACGGGAGGGGGGGGGCGACGAGGATCGACGTGAATTGGCATATGGGGGGCGGGTGAACATGTGGATGAAGGGCATGATCAGGACTGGGGGGTAGTCGGAGGGGCATGGGGAGGGTGGGGCCAAAACGAAAGGAGATTGGGAGGGGACGGGGGATGGGGCATGAGGGCGAGGCGGGCGCCAGCAAACGCTTAGCTGTTCAGTGTTTTGCGTGTCCGTGCACCCCCTAGAACACACTGATCGGTTGCAGAGCCTCATGGTCTGGGTTGTCGTGCGTGGCAGGCCAAAGGCTCGAGTCCACGACGTTCCGTGGCGCCGCGCTGATGCCGCCCCGGTTTGCCATGCCGCATGCGCGCAGATCGGCATAAGTTGTGTTTCAACGTTTGATTCATGCCCCCCTCTATGGTATCATACCCACGTTGGAATCCAAGGTCGCTCTTCCATTGTATTTACATGGACGTGTTCCCGGTGCCGCGTGCGCAAATCTCCGTGCCGCTCTGTGCGTGGCATCGCTTGCTATTTTGTTTTTTCTTTGGCTCGTGGCACGGCCTGCCTCTGCTTGCGCTGCGTCGGCTCGTTTCGCGCGCCCGCGTACCACAAAATATCTTCATCGGCCCGTCCAGAAAAGATGCCCAGGGGAGTTGAGGTGATCAGGGAAGTGGGGGGGGCTGGCAACAATCATGCTGGCGAAAAAAACCCAACCATGCGCAAGTGTGAGAACCGCAAGGGGGGGGGGGGGGGGGGGCGAAGCAACAGGAATTCCCAATGGGGTCCCGAACCGTGTGAGGAGTGCGCTAAAATGGGGCGGGGCCGCCATGCGAACCCTGCCAATGGGGCATTCGGTGGAGTTCCCTGTGGGGTCACGAACCGTGTGAGGGGGGCGCCAAAATGGAGCGGCGCCGCCATGCGAACCCTGCCACTGGGGCCTTCGGTGAAACTCCCAATGGGGCCACGAACCGTGTGAGGGGTGGGCCAACATGGCGCGGGGCCGCCATGCGAACCCTGCCACTGGGGCCTTCGGTGGAGCTGCTTGTGGGGCCACGAATCGTGTGAGGGGTGGGCCAAAATGGCGCGGGGCCGCCATGCGAACCCTGCCACTGGGGTCTTCGGTGGAGCTGCTTGTAGGGCCACGAACCGTGTGAGGGGTTCGCCAACATGGGGCGGGGCCGCCATGCGAACCCTGCCATTGGTGCCTTCGGTGGAGCTCCTTGTGGGGCCACGAACCGTGTGAGGGGTGCGCCAAAGTGGAGCGGGGCCGCCATGCGAACCCTGCCACTGGGGCCTTCGGTGGAGCTCCCTATGGGGCCATGAGCCGTGTGAGGGGTGCGCCAACATGGCGCGGGGCCGCCATGCGAACCCTGCTACTGGGGTCTTCGGTGGAGCTGCTTGTGGGGCCACGAACCGTGTGAGGGGTGCGCCAAAATGGAGCGGCGCAGCCATGCGAACCCTGCAACTGGGGCCTTCGGTGAAACTCCCAATGGGGCCACGAACCGTGTGATGGGTGGGCCAACATTGCGCGGGGCCGCCATGCGAACCCTGCCACTGGGGCCTTCGGTGGAGCTGCTTATGGGGCCATGAACCGTGTGAGGGGTGCGCCAAAGTGGAGCGGGGCCGCCATGCGAACCCTGCTACTGGGGCCTTCGGTGGAACTCCCAATGGGGCCACGAACCGTGTGAGGGGTGGGCCAACATGGCGCGGGGCCGCCATGCGAACCCTGCCAATGGGGTCTTCGGTGGAACTGCTTGTGGGGCCACGAACCGTGTGAGTGGTGCGCCAAAATGGCGCGGGGCCGCCATGCGAACCCTGCCACTGGGGCCTTCGGTGGAGCTGCTTGTGGGGCCATGAACCGTGTGAGGGGTGCGCCAACATGGCGCGGGGCCGCCATGCGAACCCTGCTACTGGGGCCTTCGGTGAAACTCCCAATGGGGCCACGAACCGTGTGAGGGGTGCGCCAAAATGGCGCGGGGCCGCCATGCGAACCCTGCCAGTGGGGTCTTCGGTGGAGCTGCTTGTTGGGCCATGAACCGTGTGAGGGGTGCGCCAAAATGGCGCGGGGCCGCCATGCGAACCCTGCCACTGGGGCCTTCGGTGGAGCTCCCTATGGGGCCACGAAGCGCTGCACTGGGTGGGTGAAACGCAGGGAGGGAAGAGGAGGGGGGAGGCGGCAGCGGGAGGAGGAGGAGGTGACGCGGGGACCGTCTCTTCAAAACGAGGACCCAACACCACAGGATGGTTGGACATAAAAAAGAGGCGGGGGACATTTTCATATACCCCAAGAGGTGGAGGATGGAAGAGGAATCCTCGTCGCCGTTGGAGGATGAGGGGGAAGAAGAACAGGAGGAGGATGAGGAGGAAGAGGAGGAGGAGGAGGAGGAGGAGGAGGAGGAGGAGGAGGAGGAGGAGGAGGAGGAGGACGACGACGAGGTGGAGTAGAGCGAGGACGAGGAGGACGAAAAGGAGGAAAAGGAACACACGGAGGGAAAATTGGGTACGGTAGACAGCGGGGATCTGCTGGAGGCCTCGTATGGGGTCTCTTGGGATCCTTCTGGAAGCCTCTTAGGGCCGTCCGGGCGCCACTTGTGGCGCTGTTTGGGCCATCTGGGAGGACATCGATCAAAAGAAGGGGGCAATTACTCTCTCCCCCCTCGAGTGCACCGAAAATCGCCTCTTGAACCCTTCTTGGAACGCTCTTGTGGCGCTCTTGGACGCTGTAGGCGCCGTCATGGGGCTCTCTTGGGCCTCTCCTGGGGCTCTCTTGGGCAATTTTGAAGCCACCTTGAACCTTCAGATGGCCATCGGAAACGAAAAGGCGAGAAAACAACAATCATTGATTCGCGCGGGGTGTTTAGAGGGCTGGTTAGATTTTTGGGTGCGTGTTCAGCATCATGAGTTTCGGTGGCGAATCGAAGCTAAGAAAGGAGGGGGAGGTGGCGGACGTCCAGCCTTGAATTGTCACCCCCCCTCTTCCCCCCTGTTCCCTCCTCACCGAACCAGGGGGCCTCCGAGAACCGCCGAGAGTATGTGAAGACATCCGGGAATATCCGAATCTCCTCCCCGAGAGGTCGCACCCGGAGCTCGACCCCAAGTACCAGGGCATTTCGGCGATCCTGGACGAAGGCGACATCTCGTACAAGGCGGCTGGGATAAGCCGCGCCCCGGGCGCCTCGCCTCTCCAGCGAGGAGAACAGGGATGATATTGAAGTGCCAAGTCCAAGGCGTCGACGTCGCGAAAAGGATGTCCTGTAGGCTTGCCTCAAAATCTCGGCGTCTTGGGGCCGGTCGCACGCCCGTGGACCAACAACGGACGACCCCGCGACGAGGACCCAGTCGCATGGGTGAGGTCTAGAACCCCTGGGCCCAAGTCGTGCAATCATGATAGCTCGCAGGTCATTTTTCAAGAAGTCACCATGCCAATGGGCCATTGCCAGGAGTTTGACGATCAAGACACACCAGAAATAGCCCATACGTGCGATCGAGACTGTCGTGTCCCACGAAACCCAGACTTTCAATGCCTTCTGGTGTTTCCTTTGGTGCTGGCTCTGTTTAGTGGTACCCAAGAGGAAAGGCGTGAAGGGGACGGATGATGAGGATGGGGAATGGCACTCTAAATCGAGCTGAGGGACGTAAGGAGCGGAAGCGAGCGTGCTCCCGCGGCCGCGTCGGCTCAAGCGGCCGGCCGCCCAAATGATTGTGCCTCATCGCGAGGCACACAATCGCTATCGAGACCAAATGGGCCTTCCTATTGCTTAAGATGGCACGTCCTCCCCTACTGGGACTATCGTTACTACGGTACAACAGAGCTGGAGTTTGGCTCCGCCTAAGGCGAAACTGTTGGCTGGGCCTCCCAGCCCCCTTCGAACTTGGTAGCGGGGCTGGCCTATTGTGTTCATCTCTTGCTTTACTCCTCACCATCCACGGCACTATCTGGTGGACTACGGACATGGTGCCCTCTGTCCCGCTCCCGACGTCGCTGCCCGAACCCTCTGTCCCCTCGCACCGGGTCCGGCAGAATGGCAAACAGCCTCGCAGGGAGGTCCTGGACGATGATTTCCGGCGTCCTCGCACTCGCCAGGCGCCTCGCCGCTCCCGGAGCCGCGGCCACAGCGCGGACCTGTGAGCCAGGCTGCTCACGCGGAACTCCACTTCGCGCCGCCGCCGCGCCCTGGCGCCGGCGCCGCTGCGACTCCGACGCCGCCGCCGACGTCACCACGACAGCACGGCGACGACGCCGTCATGACATCGATACCGCCGCCGCCGCCGTTACGACAGCTCGGCGCCGGCGCCGTTACGACACCGACGCCGCCGCGGACGTCATTGCGACAGCGCGACGCCGACGCCGTTACGACACCGACTCCGACGCCGCCGCCGACGTCACCACGACAGCACGACGACGACGCCGTTACGACATCGATACCGCCGCCGCCGCCGTCACGACAACGCGACGCCGACGCCGTTGCGACACCGACTCCGACGCCGTCGCCGACGCCACCACGACAGCACGGCGACGACGACGCTGGGGCACTCTTGGCATTCAAGGTTGCTTCAGCGAACGTCAAGACGTTGGATCCTGCTGGTGTTCGTCGCGCCAGAGCATGGCCTGAACACTGGTAGCAAGATGGAGTGCCTGGACGGTGCTCTCGCCGCCGCTGGCTACAACATCATTGGCGTGCAGGAGTCTCGCGTGGGTGGCGACGTCACCCGGGAGCAAACCCAGTACGTTGTCTACACTTCTGGCGCCACGCCAGATGGACACTTCGGAGTTGAATCTTGGATGGCGCGCTCCCTCGCTCTGGGTGTCCGCGTGCAGCCTCAGGCCATATCTCCCCGACTATTGGTGGTGAGGCTTGATAGTTCACAGTGTTTTTTCACACATGTGGTTGCCCACGCACCTGTTCAACAAACTTCTGAAACCGACAGGTCGGCCTTCTGGGACTCCCTCAAGGCCGCCTTGCATGCCATTCCGCCTACACGCATGGTGTTTCCCTCCATCGATGGCAACGCCACGCTCGGCTCCATCCCGTCTTCGGCCATCCCTTTTCAAGACGGCGCGGCCGAGAACAGCAACGGCAGGTGTTTGCGGGAAACCACGGAGGAGGCCGTGTTGGTCCTGTCCTCAATGGCCACGCCCGAGGTCCTCCCAACGTGGTTCGGAGGCCTCGTGCAGCACGAGGGCCGTCGTAACGATTACGTGGCCGCTTCCATGGGCGTTGCTGACCACTTCGCCCTGGCGGGCGTCGACCACAGCGTGCATTTCAGCGGCAAGGACTCGATCGACCACTTGCTCACTTACGCCGAGTTCCTTGTGCCTTGCCCTGCATGGGGGAAAAGCAGTGCCGCCGCCCGGCTTCAGCCCGGCTGAGCCGTCCTTTGATAGCCGACCCTGGGCGCCAGCTTCGTTTCCAGCGGTGCTTCTGGGAACGTCTTGCTCGTGTTCTCGCTGGCCCAGCGGATCCCGAAGCTCTCCGCGACCGCGTCGTGGCGCTCATGCGCGACGCCCAAAACGCCTGCTTCTCCGTTACTGCCGCTCCCGACGAGCCACGGCGACCCTGGACGTCTCCAGCTACGGCGATGCTGGCCAGTGCGACACTTCCGTTGCGGACCACGCTTCGCCGCGCTTGCAGGGGGGTTCGGGCAGCAGAAGCTCACGTGTCTATGGGCGTGGTGGTGCCGCGCTACACGACGGGCTCCGCGGCCTTCTTCTTTGATGCGCTGTACGTGTTCTCACCCATGCCGGGCCCTCCTTGCCCCTGTCCTTGGTCCTGCGTATAATCATCGAGGTTGCGAGTCCTTTCCTCGCCTCCGCCGTGCCGAAGCTGTTGCTACAGCCGCTGCTCGTGCACATCGCAAGCAGGTCAAGCAGTCTATCTCCCAGGATTTCGACTTTTGGGCTGCTTCGATCGCCGTCGAAACCGAGCAGGCCGCTGTTGTTCATGATTCTGGAGCTCTGCATGCACTCGCTCGTCGCCTACGCACTGGCCACGACCGACCTCATTGCGCGGTCAAGGACGCCAGTGGCAACCTTCTGACCGACGATCTGGGCATCGACCAGCGGTGGACTGAGCACTGGTGCCAGCACCTCGCTGGCAGCACCCTCCCGTTCTCCGAGTTGTTGGTTGCCGACTCCGCCGAATCTGTTGCACCTGACGTTCCGCGTGCACCGCCGTTGTCGCTCGACTACGTCAAGTCCCTCGCTCGGGTCTCCAAGGGGCGCAAGACCACTGGGCCTGATGGCGTGGGGCCTGCTGTGTGGATGGCAGGCGGGGAGCTGGCCGCGTTGCTCAGGCAGGCTTTCCTTTACTCCACCCGCGCGCGCTGCAAGTCCCCCATTCTGGCGAGGGCGAGCGCGCCGACGCTGCGAACAGTCGCGGTCTCCTCATCCAGACCCACGCGGGGAAGGTGCGCGGGGCCACGCTGAAAGACGCAATGGGACCTCACTACCCCCGCGCCGTCGCCGACGCGCAGCGCGGCGCCGTCGCAGGCCGCGGGGGCGCTGCCGCCGGGCTCACTGCCGAGCTGCGCGCCGACATGTGCCGCTCCCGTCGGCAATACTTCGTCCGTCTCTTCGTCGACCTGACCGCTGCCTGTGACGCGATTTGTCGAGAGTTGGCGGTGGTTCAACCTACTGGCGACCCTGATCGCGTCCGTGCCGCGCTGAGCGGTGCGGACTTTCCCATGGCCGTGCAGGAGCAGGCGACCGAATCTATCCACGCGCATGGTAATCTTCTGCGCGCCGCTGGTGTTCCTGCTGACGCGGCTGCCTTGGTCGCCGACATGCGCGCGAAGGCGTGGCTCACCGTGCAGAAGGGCGTGGCGAAACCGGATGCCATCGTCGTTCGCACCACCAAGGGCGCGAGGCAGGGTTGAAAGATTGGGGCTTTAATTTTCAACGTGATTTACGAGTATGCTCTGAAGAACGTCCGACAGCGCGCCCGCGATGCTGGCCTCGTACTTCTCGTCGAAGCTGCTGCAGGCCAGTGCCCTTGGCGCATCTCTCCGGGAGCTCTCCCAGCGAGTCTGGCCGCTGCGCCCTGCCCGGGCGTTTCTGCGAACCTCTTCGACGTCGCATTCGTGGACGACGTCTTCTTCATGCTGATGTGTGCCAGCCCTGCTGGCCTCCGCGCAGGCCAGCATGCTGCGGGATATCGCCATCGACGCATTCGCCGAGTGCGGCCTCCAGTGCAACCTGGAGGAGGGCAAGATGGAAGTCTCCCTGCACTTGGTAGGCAAAGAATCTCGCCGAGTGCGTTCCTCCCTCTATGACCCCGAACTCAAGCGTCACATGCTGCGCGCGCCGGGCGTCTCCCGAGCAGTGGTTGTGACGAACCGCTACAAGCGCGTGGGCGCAGTCCGCTCAGTGAACGACTCTTGCGTGCTAAGGCCGCTTCCTATTTGTAGGCCTATTGCCCTCTGGCGCGCCGCTTTACGGCAACTGCGACATCGATCTGCGCGCGAGGCCCTCCCAAGCAGATTCGCTCTGCTTCTCGAAGCTGTGGTTCGGCACCGAGACATGGCTGAACCCGTCCCCCGACGCCGTTCGGCATCCTCACAGCGCTCGCATGCGCGTGCTTCGTCAGGTGGCCAACCGCTGCCGGTTCAAGCGGTCCGGACACGGCTCGGGCCGGGAGGTGCCAAGGGAGTTGCACGTGTTGCCCACGGACCTGATCTTCTTGCAGAAGCGATTAGTGGCTGCTGCTACCACTTACGCGCGTGGCCCCGTTATTTAACGTGCGCTCCGGCTGCAGCCGGGCACGGGTGCTTCGGAAGATCTGGCCGACGATCTGAGATGGGCGTGGCAGGCTGCTCCTGCCCTGCACGGCACGCCAGACCCGCGCGCCGAGCCTGGCCCTTGGCTCGCCCTTTTTGCCAAGCCTTCTCAATTGGAGCGGGCTCCGCGTGCCTGATTGCGCGCGCCTCCATCCGCGAGTTTGCGCGCCCTCTTACATCGATGTCCACGCAGACCCTGTGCCTGCTGAAGCTCCTTGGGTCTGCCCCGACTGCCCTCGCGAGCGGCGTCGGCGCTGCTCCGCCCATGGAGGTTTGATGGCCCATGCCTACAAAATGCATGGGCATCGGACCCCGGCGCGCCAGTATGTCAGAGGCTCGCAGTGTCCAGTCTGCATGCCACAATTCGCTT